ATGCCTCCTGAGAACGACTATCAGCGGCTGCGACTTGATTGTGTGCGGTATCTACATTTGTTCTACCAGGAGCTTCCACGATCGAAGGAGGACGGCGGGAGCCCAGAGTTCATGTCGTCAAAGCTGGGCAGGCTGGCGCGACAGCACGTGACTCTGTATGTTGAGCTGTCGTTTCACCCTGGACGTCCTCGCCAGTGGGTCGCATATCGGGTATACCCGAAGCACCACTTGTTCATACACCTTGCGGAGGAGGACTATGAGGTTCATGGCAACCCACGCGAGTCGTGGAACTACCTGGACGAAGATATGATCGGCGTTTGCGTGAAATCCGTTTCGCATTCTAGCCAGCACTGCAAATACATGCACAGGTCGGCTATTGAGAAGTATCGGCTTTGATCGCTGGCTTGACAAAATTGTTGGTGGTGATATCACCATCGCCACCATCGATATATATATATATATATATGTGTGTGTGTTGGCTTCCGCCACGCCCGCAACGACGATCAGGACACTTGGGGGGGGGGGAGGGGGGAGGGAGGGAGGAGGGGAGGAGAGGAGGAGGGGGGAGGAAGGGAGGAAGGGATGAAGGAGAGGAGAGGAAGAGGGAAGCAGAGGAGAGGCAGAGGAGGAAGGAAGGGAAGCAGAAGAGAGGAGGAGACAAAAAAAAACAAACATAAACATGATGAGGACGAACGAAAAGGGGAACGAGACTGCGACGGCAAAGTCGTGGAGGAGAATGGGGGCCAAAAGGAGGAATCCCACTCGCCTCTTGTGCACCACGTGCTGGCGTAACTGAACCTGCGCGGGGCAAGCTTGTGGTGCAACACGCTGGCAGCCTAAGTGGTGTAGCCTACGCGGAGACAAGTGCAGTCTACGAGTGGTGAGCTATGAATGGTGCAAGCTATGAGCGGTGCAACCAATGAGTGTTGTAGCCTACGCGGTGCAATCTATGATTGGTGCAACGTATGAGTGGTTGATATGGGTGGCACAGCTATGACAATCGCGCTGTGCTGGCAATGAACTTCTAATAAAAAACGATATCGGTGGTGCGTTGCCGAACCACGCATGGCAGAACCAGGCATGGCCAAAGCAAGCGTTTCGTATTAGGTGTAGTTGGAATTAAGCAAATTCTGTTATCACATAAAAATAGGAGGGTACCTAATTTTTTAAGTGGGTTTCGCCTATGGAAGAAAACCCTCTTATTTTTAGGAGGTTTTCTGGAAAATAAGAGAGTATCGTTTCCCCACCAAAAAAATAAGGAAACTCTCTTCCTTTTAGGAGGAATGATGGGCTGGGTCCTCACAAAACGGGCCCCGGGGGGGATGCCCAGAGGAGCCCAGAGCGGCCTCCGGCACCGTTTCCGGACGGATCCGCTGGATCCGCTGGATCCGCTGGATCCGGTGACGAATCCCAAACCGGCGCCCTCGCCTGAGACATCCTCACAAAACGGGCCCCGGGGGGGATGCCCAGAGGAGCCCAGAGCGGCCTCCGGCACCGTTTCCGGACGGACGACCTGACTGCATAACACGCCTGGATATGCCGACGGGGGCGAAGGAGGAGGAGGAGGAGGAGGAGGAGGAGGAGGAGGAGGAGGAGGAGGAGGAGGAGGAGGAGGAGGGGGAGGGGGCAGGCGAGGGAGCCCCGGCCCTGGGGGAGGGGCCCTGAGGGAGCCCTGATGGGCTTCCGGCACCATGGAGAGGTCCTGTGGGGCGGCCGCCCCTTCTTCTCTCGGTCGTTTCCCTCTCGCCCAGAAGCGCGCGCCCCTTCTTCTATATATTCAGAAACTCCCGATCAACCGCAGAGCGGCGGATGTTAATAAAGACGATTGTAATGACGTAAGTCTTGAAGTTGTTGGTCAAGAAGTTGATCACCCACATAAGAAGTACGAAGATGACCGAGAGGAACTTAGTCTTGAAGTTGTTGGTCTAGACGAAGTTAGAGGAGTCCACTAAGGAGTAGACCTCGAAGTGTCCAGACACTGCGAGGATGCCGTCCAAGCCGAAATAGCTATGAATTCCTTGTCGTGCCCAGGCACCGGTAGCCGATGACGAACTCCTGGCGGCCTTGTGGCCGCCGAACGACATGCAGGAGAAGAGCTCCGTCAGGAACAGGAACGGGAGGGACGTTGGCTGGGGGACGCCAGCGGCTCCGCGGCTAAACGGTGAAGCCCCGGAGACCCCGCGGACGCCGACGCTGTAGAGATAATGCGTGCCTAGGCTTCCGGCTCGACGATGAAAGCGCCAACCGGGGAAAGGATTACCCACCAGTCCCGCGGACGTCAACGCGATAACGTGGCACGAGTACTTTCCGGCAGCCAGAAGAATAGACAGTGGCAGTGTTGAGGGCGGCTCCGCAGCGAAGTCCTAGACGCCTTTCCAGCAGCCGAGAATGGCGGTACAGACGTGTAGAAGAAAAAGTACAAGTCGGCGAACACCGTGAACGCCCACGCATCCCCGGGCGGGGCATCATGATGAAGGTCATGCTATGTGTAAATACGTGCCTCCCAGCTAATACTACGATGGCCCAGTTCATGTAGCAATTCGTGGCATACTTGTCAAGAAGATGTTGCCCCTGGTGGGGAGCACAGAGAAAATGTTCATGACAATTCTCAGTACCTCGCAAGTGCGAGGCCCAGTCACACGGGTGCGATACTGAGGACGTACTTGTCGTAGTGGCTTACGTATGCCATTGCTGCTACTGATGGTTGGTGATGATAACGGCGATGATGATGTTGATGATGATGATGATGGTGACGATGGTGATGATGCTACTAATGATTGTGGTTATGATGGCGATGATGATGTTTGAGATGCTGATGATGCGTTGGATGACGATTACGATGACGGTGACGATGATGACTATGATGATGACGATGATGATGATGATGATGATGATGATCATGATCATCATCATCATCATGATCATGATCACGATCATGCTGCTGTTGCTGATTTTGATAATGTCGATGATGCGGATGATGATGCTGTTGCTGGTGGTGATGATGATGGTGATGGCCTTGATGGCGACGATGGTTGTTAGCGTGATGGCCATTCTGATGTCGAGCATTCATTTCTGAAAGGTACTAGTGTTGATCTCCGGAAACGGTTCCGCGCGCTCTCGCCTCGACGCCGGCTACATTTTCTTTGAAAACGAGGCTCCCGCTCGAGCGTTGGCTTGAGCCTAAATGTGGGCCCTGGGAGGCCCAGCTACGACAACAACGGCTCCCGCTCGAAACCTCCTCACGATTTACCACGGGACGCCGTGGCCAGAGAGGCTCCCGAATCCAGGCACGTCGCTCTCGCACGAGATTTCCTCGTATTTCAATTAAGTTGGCGGGGGCCCAGCCGCGACGACAAGGGCTCCTGCGCGCGATACTTCCTCACGATTTACTCCGAGAGTCCCTGGCCAAGAAGGCCCCCGAACTCAGCAACGGCGCTCTCGCTCGAGATTGTCTTGCAATTCAGGAAAATTGGTGGAGGCTGGGACACGGCGACAAGGGCTCCCGTTCGATATTTCTCCATAGGTATTCCGAGAGCCCCTGGCCAGAGAGGCCCCCGAATTCAGGAACGGCGCTCTCGCTCGAGAGTTCTTCGCACTTCAGTCAGTGGCCGACAAGGAAGATATTCCCCCCGATTGGGGTTGCAGTCGAAGACGAAGTGGGCGGGCATCGAGGGTTGAGGTATACGGAATGCAAGACACGCGGGCCAGTGAGAGCGAACAGTCTTAAAATGGCTGTTGTTGCTGTTGTTGTTGTTGTTGCTGCTGCTGTTGTTGTTGTTGTTGCTGAGGCGGAAGAGGATGAGGAGAAGGAGAAGGATGAGGAGGCGTCCCTTCGTCATCGGCGGCAACGAGGGTCGCGGGAGGTCTCCAGAGGCCCGAAAGGGGGGGCCCATGCAGCTCGTAGCAAATCCCTCGATTCTCGAAGAGCTTCCTCGTCGTCCTCCCCCTCCTCCTCTTCCTTCTACCCGTCCTCCTCGTCCTCCTCCTCAGGTAATTACTGTCTCTCCTCCTCCTCCGCCTCCTCCTCGTTCTCCTCCTCCTTCTCCTCCCCTCTCGTCGCCCTCCTTGTCCTCCTCGCCCTCCTCGTCCCCATCGTCGCCCTCCTTGCCGTCCTCGACCCCCTCCTCCTCCTTCTCGCTCTACTCGTCCTCGCCCTGCTCGAGGCGACGACGGACGACGACTGACGACGACGAAACGACGACGGACGACGAAGGACCGACGGACGAAGACGACAACAACGACGACGACGCAGCGACGACGACGAGCCCCTTCCTCCCAGACATCCTCCGTCGTTTTTTTTTTTTTTTTTTTTGTTTTTTTTTTTTTTTTTTTTTTTTTTTTTTTTTTTTTTTTTTTTGTTTTGTTTTTTTTTTTTGTTAAAAAAAAGAGAAACAACCACGCCGTGGCTACTCAGAGGTCTGAACCCCTTCCACGGGACGAGCTTTCCCATCCTGACCTGTTTCTGATGCTTAAGAACCTCCCGTCCTGCTCTTTTATCGTGATGCAGTCGGGGCGCTGAAGAAGGAACCCTTTTCGTTGGGGAGGGGCTCGGCGTCCCTTGATCGTTTCACAGCTTGCCTCAGGTTTTCCTTATGTTTCCGGTGGGAAATCGAAGTTTAACTTATGGGAGAAAGGGGCCTCGTTCCTTATTTAGGGTTCCTTAGGTCAACGCCCCGACTGTATACATATACATATACATATATATATGTATAAAAGAAAAAAACAAAAACCAGAGAAGGTCACGCTTCTTCGGTAACAAATAATGGGAGCCTGGTGTGCCCTCTCCATTCCGTCTTTAGTGTCGACTAGCGTCGATTAGCGTCTTGGAGTCGGTGAGATAGCGCCGATTCAGCGTCGGTTGGCGTCGATCAGCGTCGATGTCTCGTCGAATAGCTTAGATTTAGCGTCGACTACGGTCGATTCGCAAGGGTCAACAAGATGATATGGGCGGCCCCCGTGAGTTGCCACGGAACGCTTCCTCTCGCTTTGCCCGCCTGGAGGTCCCCCCCTACGCTGGCGCGGGGTGCCGGCCGGAGCACTACGCTCCCAGCGCGCAACGGCCGCGGCCGCGGGAGCTTTCCGCCGCCCGTTGCGGGTCCCTCGGCATCGCTCGGACGTGTGCGTTTGTTTGTTTTGTTGAACTCTCATTCTTGAAGAATAATTATTGTTGATCCCCCCTCGCCAGTGCACATTGGTTTTTTTCACTTGAAGTGCCCCCCCCGGGGCTCGCATGCTGTTTTTTGTCAAACAAAGTCTTCCTGCTCAAACTGGCCCCCTGCCCCCCGGACTACAACAACAACGGCTCCCGTCTGAGACTTCCTTCCAATTTAGCCAGGACCCCCGCTCCCGCCCGAGACTTCCTAGCATTTTATTCAGGAATCGCGCTCTCGCTTGGGACTTCCTTACAATTTATTCAGGAATCGCTCTCCGGGCGCTCTGGAGTCGCGCTTTCGCTGGAGACTTGATTGCAATTTACCATAGAATAGCGCCCTTGCATTGGATTTTCTTGCAATTTACTCAAACGCCGCGCTCCCGACACCCAGGCACCCAGGAGTCGCGCTCACGCTTAGGATTCCCTCACAGATTACCTAGGATCTCGCTGCCCTTCGTGGCCCCGTTGCAGCCCTTCGTGGCCCCCTCGCTTTGTTTCGTGGCCCCGCTGCAGCCCTTCGTGGCCCCCTCGCTGCCCTTCGTGGCCCCGTTGCAGCCCCTCGTGGCCTCCTCGCTGCCCTTCGTGGCCCCGCTGCAGCCCTTTGTGGCCCCTCGCTTTGTTTCGTGGCCCCGTTGCAGCCCTTCGTGGCCCCCTCGCTTTGTTTCGTGGCCCCGTCGCAGCCCTTCGTGGCCCCGTTGCAACCCTTCGTGGCCCCCTCGCTGCCCTTCGTGGCCCCGTTGCGGCCCTTCGTGGCCCCCTCGCTGCCCTTCGTGGCCCAATATATGTATGCCCTTCGTGGCCCCTGCTCGTTCGCGCCCGTGGTTGCCCCATATGCATGCCCTTCGTGGCCCCGCTGTCGCCCTTCGTGGCCCCCTCGCTGCCCTTCGTGGCCCCGTTGCTGCCCTCAGTGGCCCCGTTCTTGCCCTCCGCGGCCCAATATACGTATGCCCTTCGTGGGCCCGCTCGTTCGCGCCGGTTTTGGCCCCATGTGCATGCCCTTCGTGGCCCCGCTGTCGCCGTTGCGGCCCTTCGTGGCCCCCTCGCAGCCCTTCGTGGCTCCGTTGCAACCCTTCGTGGCCCCCTCGCTGCCCTTCGTGGCCCCGTTGCGGCCCTTCATGGCCCCCTCGCTGCCCTTCGTGGCCCCATATATGTATGCCCTTCGTGTTCCCCGCTCGTTCGCGCCCGTGGTTGCCCCATGTGCATGCCCTTCGTGGCCCCGCTGTCGCCGTGTGTGGCCCCCTCACTGTCCTACGTGGCCCAATTGCTACCTTCAGTGGCCCCATCGTTGACTTCTGTGGCCCCGCATTATCTGCCTTTCGTGGCCCCCGCTCGTTCGCGCTCTTCGTGGCCCCATACGCATTCCCTTCGTGGCCCCGCTGTCGCCCTTCGTGGCCTACTTCGTGTCCTTCGTGGCCCTGCTGTCGTTCTCTCTCGCTCTCGCTTTCGCTCGTCGTCGTCGTCGCCGTCGTCGTCGTCGTCGTCGTCGTCGCCGTCGTCGTCGACGTCGTCGTCGTCGTCCTCGTCGTGGTCGGTCCCCTGTCCGTCCCTCTGGGGGTCGGGTCGACGGTCCGCGGCCGCCCCGCCGATCAGTGCTGCCGCTGGCCAGGCCGACGGTCCGCGGCCGCCCCGCCGTTTGCCGGGGCCCGGCCTGCAGGGAAGAAAGGTCGGAGGTGAGGGGGTGAGATCGAAGTGGAACGGAGAGCCACCCTACCGGGAAATCGATTTCGGTTTCGTGTTCGTGCGTGCCGTGCGTGCGGGCGAGGCGAAGCTGCGTGGGCGGGCGAGAGGAAAGTCTCCTGTGGCTGAGGCGCGGCCGGACCAAATGATTCTCCACCGGGCGGCCGGTGGCGCGCGGTGTCCCGCCGGTGTCCCGGTGGTGTCCTCTGTGGCTGAGGCGCGGCCGGACCAAATGATTCTCCACCAGGCGGCCGGTGGCGCGCGGTGTCCCGCCGGTGTCCCGCCGGTGTCCCGTCGGTGTCCCGTCGGTGTCCCGATCATGATGTTGATGATGATGCTGATGATGGTGATGATGATGATGGTAATGATGATGATGATGATGTTGGTGATCGCGATGATGATGATGATGATGTTGATGAGGTTGATGTTAATGATGATGATGATGATGCTGATGATGATGATGATGATGATGATGATGTCGATTCGAGATCGGCTCTGATCGGTAGTGAGACCGAATGTGAGACCGAATGTGAGATCGATAGTCAGATCGATTGTGAGATCGATGGTGAAATCGATAGTGAGACCGAATGTGAGATTGATTGTGAGATCGATTGCGAGATCGATAGCGAGATCGATACTGAGACCGAATCTGAGATCGATCGTGAGATCGATAGTGAGATCGATCGTGAGATCGATAGTCAGATCGATTGTGAGATCGATCGAATGATATCGATAGTGATATCGATAGTGATATCGATAGTGAAACCGAATGTGGGATCGATTGTGATATCGATTGTGATATCGATCGTGAAATCGATAGTGAGGCCGAATGTGAGATTGATTGTGAGATCGATTGTGAGATCGATAGTGCGGTCGATCGTGAGACCGAATGTGAGATCGATTGTGAGATCGATTGTGATATCGATAGTGAGATCGATGGTGGGACCGATTTTGAGACCGACTGTGATATCGATAGTGAGATCGATGGTGAGACCGAATGTGAGATCGATTGTGATATCGATAGTGAAATCGATGGTGAGACCGAATGGGAGGTCGATAGTGAGATCGATAGTGATACCGAATGTGAGATCGATTGTGAGATCGATTGTGATATCGATACTGAGATCGATAGTGAGACCGAATGTGACGAATGTGAAATCGATTGTGAGATCGATAGTGAGATCGATAGTGAGACCGAATGTGAGATCGATTGTGATATCGATAGTGAAATCGATAGTGATACCGAATGGGAGATCGATAGTAAGATCGATAGTGAGACCGAATGTGAGATCGATAGTGAGATCGATAGTGATATCGAGAGTGAGATCGATCGAGTGCGACGTTGGTCCCTCCCCCCCCCTCACCTCCTTATTTCCCGAAGGGTGGTCGTATAGGTATACCCCCCAAAAAGGGTTCGATCGAAGACGGAGAGGGCGGGTATCGAGGGTTTGGGAAATACGCGTTATTGGACACTCGAGCAGATAAGGGCGAACAGTCTTAAACTGAATGTTGTTGTTGTTGTTGTTGTTGTTGTAGTTGTTGTTGTTGTTGTTGTTGTTGTGGTTGTTGTTGTTGTTGTTGTTGTTGTTGTTGTTGTTGTTGTTGTTGTTGTTGTTCTCGTTGTTGTTGCTGTTGTTGTTGTTGTTGTTGTTGTTGTTGATGATGTTAACATCGGCGGGGACCCTGGGCAAAACATCCCCGCATAGCTCTTTGGAGAGCTACGAGGTTTTGAGATAAGAAGCCGGCAGGCAGGGCTACGCCAGCTCCTCTCCAAGGCTCCCGGGCAGGCATTCCTGGGGCAGGCTGCTCGAGCCTGCAGCGTGTCCCGAGACCGTTCTCCGATTCGTTCCAAAAGCGCGCGTTGACAGCCTGTCCGAAGCTCCTTCGGAGCTCCTGCGAAGCTTCCTTTCCAGAGTTTTCCTGCTCGTACTCGTTCCCAATACGCGTGCTCCTTCGAAGCTCCTTGGGTGCCTCCTTTCTCGAGCTTGCAAGCCCCCCCCCCCCCCCCCGGCATCCTTTCAAGCGTCCTTCCAAGCGTCCCCTAGAAGCGCTTCGCACGCCATGGACTACGTCGCTATCTGGGGTTTGGATGCTACACGTATACACGCACGAAGCCGAGAAACACACAAGGAATTGAATGGACGCCCGAGCGATGGCAAACACATCCGATTCTGCGCCCTCGCGGTTTGGGTTCTGGGCCGCGATCCCGCGGATACGCGGTCGCACAGATCCGACGCCCCGAGAAAAATTGGAGCGGCGGGATTTGGGCTATTTTTTGGCTTCCTGGGGCCCTCGCCGGGCCTCGGGACCGTCAAACAATTATTCGGGGCGAAGAACTGGCCATAGGGACGTGGTTCATACCTCCGGGGCCCACGCATCGAAACAGCTGGAGCGGCCGGATGTCTGGGGACGGTTACGTTCAGCGCTGGACATCCGCGACAATTTTCCCCGTATCCTCGGGGTCGCGGCCCAAGGGCCAGGCCCGCGAGGCTGCGGACGCGGATATGCTGCTTGCCCACGCGCCAAGGCAGGGAGCGAATAAGCTCAGGGGGATGCGCAGCGACCTCTGGTCGCCCATTCATCGCTGATATAGGGGCCCCATGGCCCACCCCGCCTAGGGATGGTCGGATGCTATCGGGGACCTCTCGCCGATCTATCGGCGATATATCACCGATCCTAGCTGGATGTTTACCCCGCTGAGCGGGTCCCCCTGTGACGTTCCCGCGCAAGGGTTCGTGGCCCCGCTGCTCCTCTTGCTCCTCCCGCGTCGAGGCCTCCAGCCGCTTCCTTCTAGGAAGCCCTCTGCCTTCTGATAATCGCCGCGGCTTCGTAGAGGGCCCCCCCCTTGCGCCACCCCCCTGTGCTCGCCTCCAGGTGCTGTCCTTTCTGGGCCCCTCTCTCAGAGGCCTCTTCGTCGCCACGGCTGGATTCCCTTTTAGATGCTGGCCAGAACACGCCCTAGGATTAAGTCGGGCGTGTCCCTCTACAGGAGGAGTACTCAAACATAATAAAACATAGTATGGGACACTTGGTGTATTATTGTTGGCTATGTTTGAATATTTTTGGAACATTTTATTTTTCGTCCAAAATCCGCCTGTAGGGGGACATGCCCGACCTAACCCTAGGATGGGTCTGGGGCCGATGTGTAAGGGAATGGCCCAGATCCCCTCGCGTCGAGCAGTATTCGGCGACGGAAGGGTTTTGGCAGTTTTTGGTCTCGGGGATCCACGCCGTTCTTGAGCGAGGTTGCCAACCACATGTGAAAACCAGCGGCCTCCAGGGCAAACGTGTCAGGTTTCTGCGCGCGCACACTTCCTCATCATCCTCGTCGTCTTCATTGCCATCGTCATCTTCCTCGCCATCATTTTCATTGCAGTCACCACCGTCGTCATTGTTTGTGTCATCGTCATCGTCCTTGTCGTCGCTTTCGTCATCGTCGCCACCAGCATCACCACCACCATCATTACATCCCCAGGCCGACAGTTTTCCCCTTTGGGAGACTTTCAGCAGCAAAAGAAATATGGGTGCGGAAAACCAGTGGAACCATGTTCTGCTGTAGTAAAAGTCAGGAGGGGAACAACCACACAGGCACAATTAATCGTCGACTCCCAAGAAAGTATGGGAAACTATGGGACGTGGGGGGGGGGGAGGACGAACACCGAGAAGATATGGGGAAACATACGGGGAATCCTGGGATTCGTGTGTATTTATTTGTGTGTCCCTGGGCCCCTTCAAGACATACAGAAATACTTAGACTCTCCTGGACTCAGGGAAAATGGGATCCATGGCGCACTGCACGTGAAAAACATACCTGCTGTGATTCTACGGGGAATGTGGTTCCCTCCTCATCACCATCGTCATCATCAATCATCAGCATCATCATCGTCGTGGTCATCATCATCATCATCATCATCATCATCATCAGCAGCATCAGCTTCATCATCGTCATCAGCATCGTCATCGTCATCGTTCTAATCATCATCATCATCATCATCATCATCATCATCATCATCATCAGCACCATCATCATCATCATCATCATAATCGTCAGTATCATCATCACCATCACCATCACCATCACCGTCATCATCATCATCAGCATCATCATCATCATCATCATCATCATCATCGTCATCGTCATCGTCATCGTCGTCGTCGTCGTCATCGCCATCGTCATCATCATCACCGCCAACAGCTCGACCGTCACTGCGGGCTCTCGCCCACTCCCACGACCCTCACAGCAATGGAGGCACTTGACGGCCAGATTTTACTGCGGGCCCCGCCCACTCCCACAGCCAGCCCCATAATATTGGGTAGCTCGAGCGCCACGGCGGGCGCACGTCCACTCGCCCTCCTCGTCCTCCTCCTCCCCCTCCTCCTCCTCCTCCTCCTCCTCCTCCTCCTCCTCTTCCGCCTCCTCCTCCTCCTTCCTCTTCCTCCTCCTCCTCCTCCTCCTCCTCCTCCTCCTCCACCTCCTCCTCCTCCTCCTCCTCCTCCTCCTCCTCCTCCTCCCTCCTCTTCCTTCTCCGCTACCTCCATAAAAGCGAGAAGCTCGACAGTCACCGCGGACATCCGCGTGGCCTGTCGAGCTCAGCAGGAAAACCTTCGGCCCGCGGAAGTATCATGTAGTCGTCGTCGTCGCCGATGTCGTCGTTCCCATCATCACCCGCCCTCCCGAGCCATGGGTCTGCGTGGGCAGGGTCCGCGAGTAGTTGCGCCTGTTGAGATTCGCGGCCCAGATTTCCCCGGGGCCAGTCTTTCACCCCCCTGACGGTGCTGGGGCCCGGCGAGGGCCCCCAGGGGCCGAACACAGCGAAGTGCTTGCCGTCCCAGTCATGCCTGGGGAGCAAGCTCCACACCGGCGACGTCCAGATTTTTTTCAGGACGGCGTCCCCGGAAGTCCCTGGCACCGGTTTTTCGTCCTGAATCGTTTTTCGGGGGTCCCGAGGCCCAGCGAGGGCTCCCCGAGGCCGAAATTGGCCAAAAGCCTTCTGTCCAGATGTCTTTTTACGACGCGATCATGTCTGGGGAGCAGGCTTCGATTGGCAGACTGCACGCACGGCCACGCCGGGTGTCCTGCCAGCACGTCGCGGGTGGCTGGGCTGTCTGCGCGGATGCACGGGAGGCGGGTCGTGCGCGGCTGCCCACGGCGGAACAACGGCACCACGTGTAGGTCGGGCCCGTGCCTCTTCAAAGGGGGAAAGTTCAGAAATAGTCATAACATAGTCTGGGGACGATGTTTTAAAGTATGTTATGACTACTTGTTTTGAGGTTTTTGTATATGTTTGATGTTTCGCCCAAAAATCCGCCTGTATGGGGGACATGCGCGACCTGACACCACGTAGATCTCCACATCTTCCCAAAACTTCACCGTCCACCGGTACCCATCTTCGCCCCAGGGTCTGGGGCTCCTGTTCTGAGCCCCTTGATGATCAGTTCGGCTTCAGGAGGCATTGGATTCACAATCCTGGCATCCGAAGGGCACCAGGAGACCGTCAAGATGGCCAAGACGTGCCCAAGATGGTGTATCACAATCGCTCCCTGACGCCTCCAAGACGGCACACTACGCCTCAAGAACGCTCCAAGAGTACCCCCAGGAGGTCCCCGCGAGGTAATAAACTGTTTTCCCAAGGATTTGATTTTAGCATGCTCGCTTTTTCGGTCTTCAGAGCGTTTGGGACAGCCCGAGAGGCGGCCAAGATCGCACCAGCCCGAGAAGGCCCAAGAGTCTCAAGATGCCCCAGCACGGCCCCTGGAGAGACTCACGGTGGCCCAAGATCGCTGGAGTAAGGGGCCACATGCGAACCCTACCCCTACCCCCTACGATTTCTGCGGGGGAGTGTGGGGTCCACTTCGCTCGAGAGCTCCCGAACGAAGTGAACCCCACCCTCTCCCTCAGAAATCGTGGGCGGTAGGGGTAGGGTTCGCATGTGGCCCCCTAACAGCACGACGGCGCGAGGATGGTCGCGCGTCGCTCTTCGCGGTGCGCGATGCGCGAAGTCAGGTGGCCTGGGGCCCAGCCAGGGCCGGTGCAGGTGGACCGCTGGCGCCCCCCGCTGAGAGGGTGAGGGTTCGGCCCGCCCGGTGTGAGCCCGAGCGTGCTCCAGTGGGGCCAGCCCGCTGCGTGATCAGGGGCGGAGAGGGCGGGGAGGAGGAGGAGGAGGAGGAGAAGGAGGAGGAGGTGGAGGAGGAGGAGGAGCAGGAGGAGGAGGAGGAGGAGGAGGAGGAGTAGAAGGAGGAGAAGGAGGAACCTCCCCCTTGGCTGTGACATGGAGAGGACGATCCAGGCAGGGCCTGTCTTGGGATGTGCGCGCTCCAGCCCTTGCGGCGTCTCCCCATATCCATACGTGGACTCGGGTCAGGACGCTGGCCAGGATGTGATGTTGCTCTGATGGCATCGTCGTCGTCGCCAGGACAGGAGGAGGAGGAGGAGGAGGAGGAGGAGGAGGAGGAGGAGGAGGAGGAGGAGGAGGAGGAGGAGGAGGAGGAGGAGGGTGGAGAGCAGGAGTAGGGAGGGAGGATAGGAGAGAGGAGAACGTATTTGCGTTCGATGTGGATTTCACACGGATCTTTGCGTGGAGTGAGTGTTTCCTATGCGGCGGGATAAGGGGGCACAGTGAGATTTGAGTGCACTGTAAGTGGCGATCATTGCAGGACGCACACGGTCTTCAGTCTCCTCCCTCTCTGTCTCTCCATCGCAGCGGTAGCCTTAGGAGCTGTGAAGACACGCCCACGGTGGTCGCAATCAGTGCCGGTCGTCAGAATATGTATGAAGGGTTTCCAGTCGGCACGATTTGGTCGGCTGCCGTGAAACCTATCATTGTCGTTGCCGTCTGCAGGGAAGTCGCAGCGACGTGAGCGACGGACAAACGGGGTGGACTGCGCGTACATTGTTTTAAAAGCGTCTGCGCGCGCGTAAGGCTGCGCGCACGCGCTACTTTTTGTTCATGCGGCGTGCTGCGCTGGTAGCTTGCGTAAGCCACCTCGCAAGATCGTCGTACCGTCGCGCATCAGACAAGCACATTCTTCGTTTTAAACGTGTATTTCGACGTGCATGAGACTACGTAGGCCTTGTGAAATCCTTAGTCATCTCTCTCATCCCTGTCGTGCCTTGGCCCTCTCGGTTAGGAGACGTCCGACTCCTTCCAGATGGCGCGGCAGGTCTTGCCGATCAGTCCTTACAATTCGAATGAGCTGTTGGAACATTGGGATCAAGTGTTGTATGTGCATGCGCGCTGTCTGTCTGTCTCTCTCTCTCTATCTCTCTCTCCCTCTCTCTCTCTCTCTTTGCAGTCTCTGTCTACCTAATCAATACACACCTTTTGTACTACTTTTATTACTTCTGTGATTCTGATCGTATTGCTGGTGCTATCATTCCTATTCTTATCACTGCCAGCCTTGTGATTATAATGGAAAGTGCGCCACTGGAGGACTCTGTAATTGAAAAGGTGGGCGGGGGTTCGGACCCCCCTCCTTTCAAAGGGGGGTGAGATTTTCGACCCCCCCCCTTCCTCGAGGCTGGGGTGTTCTGGGAGTCCCCTCGGCCGCACAGGCCGTATCAAGATGGTATTTGAGATGGTAGAAATATCGGCCGACCTGGCGGCGCTGTTGGTGTTGCATATACAGATATAGATATACATATACGCGTACACACATACGCATACTATATATATGCAATTACAACTATATCTCCATGCACATATACATGCACAGCTGCATGAAGACGCACGCGTGTACATAGTAGCACGTCCATCAATGGTGCAAAAGTAAAGCAATCATCTATACAAACGCACATACAATCACACGTAAACGTAGACAGGTGTGAAGCGCAGCTTAGAACCATCACTTGCGTTGATTTTTCGGCGGATTATGACGGAGTGCATCCGCGCGCGCCAGAATCGCGACAGGCCTTTACAGATGGCGGCGCGCATGCCCGCCCTCCCGATGCCCAGGAACACCGTCGCTTTAAGCGCACGGATAATGCCCACTGGGTTTGTTGTGAATCTTACTGGCGGCTGCCGCCGGGTGCCCCAGGTGGTCAGTGTCGCCAGCAGACAACATTGAGTTGTGCTTGGCAACGAAGTACAGGACCAAGAAGCGGTGGCGGCTGGGCGACATCTCGTTGAAGATCCGCGAGTAACCGCGAAACCATGAGAAGCACTGCTCTGCCACTTGAGTGTTAAGTCCGCTGATACGCAGCTTCAAGCGATGGATGTGCAGCGGGTTGCACGCGCAGGTGGGCACATGCTTCTGGGCGTGCAGCCTGTCGACGACCCAGTATTTAATCTGATTGAACTGATCGTCCAGGAGCGCCGAAGGCATCACCGAGCATGCCCTGTCGTATATGATGCAGTTGACCTTCGGATACTGCGGGAGAACACGGAGGATTGTGGACTTAACCACATCGTTGCCCTTTGGCGCAGTCTGCTCGGTCACGGCCACCACGCGGCCGCTCGTGGTCAGAAGCATAAACCACCCGTTGTTGTGGTGTAGAGACCTCGGGGCTTTGCGCTTCGTGCCAGCCTTGGTCACCGCGGGCTTCTTAATCACGGCGGCTCTCTTCGCGACAGGCTTGGGCTTGGAACGGGCCTTCGCGGTAGCGGGCTTTTTCATCAGGGCCTTCCCAGCGAACTTGCGAGCAGCCGAAGGCCTCTTCAGCACTTTCCCTCCTGGAAGGCCGCAGCCGCCGTTGCAGCGCACCAGCACCTTCTCGTGTCCGTCGCCCACTAGCTCAGTAACGCAAGCGGAATTGGCGGGCGGATAGACGCGCTGGTGGAGGTGATCGTCGTCTGTTCTCAGAGCGCTCTCGCTGATGTCCTCCTCCACGTAGATGTCAAGATGCTTGTCGAGCGGTTCCAACTCCTGCACGGCCAGCGCATGCATGATAGCATGGCCGTGAAGTTTACGCATGTCGAAAGGGAACTCTTTCCCCTGCCAACCGCTGCCGTCGCCGTCGTCAAAGACATCCTTCTGGACCCAGTCTGCGCCCCTGGCCGAGACGAAGTTCCTGAACAACATTGCCTCGTAGTACCGCACGTATCTCATGGTGAAGCCGCGCTTGCTCGAGATGAAGAGGACTCCGGCGCGCTCCAGGTCGGCGAGAGTAGCAGTGTTCTTCTTGCGCCCCCCGACCCACGCGAAGTTGGGGCCGTGTGTCAATCGACACTTCTTGTTATTGCACTGCCAGGGCGTGACCGTCACTGTCGTCGCGGTGTGGAGGTCATGGACGATGGCCTCGTGAGTCGTATCGCCCTTCTTGCAGAGCCTGCATCCACATACGCAGAATTCCAAGTGCGTCTCGAACTCGTCGGCGATGTCCTGCCGCAGACCCTTGCCCTTGGTGTAGGGCGCGCCGCCGCTGCAGACGCTGCAGCTCGAACCGCCGAGAGCGTCGCCCAGCCAACAACGGTGTTCTCGCATGATCAGAATGCGGAGGTACCGAGCCTCGCCGCCAAAATCTTCCTCCAGGGACTGCGCCATGGATGCGAGCATGGTGGATGCGGGCCGATCAACGCCCCTTGCATTGCGAATGCTGATAGCGTATGTGAACAATGCCTCCTGCGCATCTAGGAACGCCTCCGTGTCGATGCGCTCCACTGAGTGCTCTGGCAGCACTGCGATCTGAAATGAACCAGGAAGAGGTCGCGGATCGCCTCCGTAGTAAGTGAAAGAGAATGGCGCCCTCTCCATGCTCTCCATGTGGCGTCGCCGATCGCGCGCTACCCAGGCAAGCCCCGCGGCGCCGAGAGCGCGCAGTTCCTGAAAACAACGCGAATGCCCCGCCCGAGCAAACTGCTCGTCTGGAATCCCCGCAGGAGTGCCCATTCCGCCCACTGAATTCCACGGCGTGTTTGGCACGTCTGGCAAGGCGCTGCTCCGGCGAAGTAGCAGTGGCCGGGGACGCTGTCTCATGAGGTGCATCAACAAAGACGCGGAGCGGCTGTACCGGCACTCCATATCCGTTATCAAGCTGACGAACTCGCCCTCGGAGCTGATGGTCCCGTCGCGAAGTTGGACGTACGTGAGTTGCTGCTCACGGTCGAACGCGCTCAGCTGCGTGCCGCCGACATGGTAAACCTGCCCCTGCTCCCACAAGAAGTCATTCGATCTCCTGGCCGCAGCTGCGTTGGCGCCCCCCAGCGAATCGCCAAATGGCGTAATCGTAAAGGTAACTCCGTAAGCTTCGCCGACCTCCTCGAGCACGCCGGTGATGAGATCCAGATCGTCGGGACACGCAACAACTACCGCCCCGTCGAACATGTAGGAATTGAGCCGCAGGTCTGGCACTCTCCTCACGAGCTCGGACTCCGCGCGGCTCAGGATGTCATCCTCTATGCTCGAAAGCGCGAAGTGTAGGCGCGTCACCTCGGGGTGGTCTCTGTCGCTAAACATGCCTTGCAGGTATGCAAACTGCGGCAGATCCAACACGACCCTCGTGGCCGCGCGCACTTCGACGGCCAAGTTCCACAGGCATGGGAGGTCGTTCTGAGGGGCGCCCCAATGGACGATTCGGATCAACTGCTTCTTGGCGTGGCGCGGATCGCTGGCTCCCATGAAATAGTCAGCATAGAAGCTGCGCCACTCTCGATGGTGCTGCCAGAAGGAGGACAGAGTCTGGAAGTCGCTGAGGTCCGACACGTTCTGCTTCAGCAAATTGCACATCAAGCTGACGAAGGAGTTGTCGATGTCAAAATCGAAGAAAACGCGCCCTGAATTCCACGACGACCCTGCTTCTCTGCAGAAGGCTGACTGCCTGGCAAGGCGCGGCAAGTTCATCTGAGCGCTTGGCCCGCGGGCGTATCTACGCCCTGGGATGCCGTGCTTTCTATAATACTGCACATCGATGCCGGCCATGTCGCCATCTCTCTCTCCCTGCCGAAATCTGGCGAGCACGCTGTTGATGCGGTCTAAATCACCGGCGATCGTGCCAGATGCCACGTCTCCCTCAAGTTGTATCAAGTTGATCCATTCTTTCAGTGTTCCCGCGGGCTGATCGTCATGGTCGGCGGCTCTTGCAAGGCCTCGGAAGTCGGGTATGTCGGCCGTGGCCTCATACAACTCTTCCTTGCACTCCCACACGGGGCGCCACGCCGCAAAGCCGCCCCCGAAGAATCCGATGCCGCCGTGCGCGTGAAGCAACGCCTCAAACTTCTGGTGATCTACTTGGAGGAGCTGGAAAGCGTTACTGTCGGAGTGCCAGCGAATCAAGTGAGGCCAGAGGTTGATGGCCTTCTCCAAATTGTCAGCTCTGGTGCTCTTGCCCGCGCCCGGTCTCCACGCCCCCGGCACGTTCTTCATGTATTTGTTCACTTCGTATTTCTTCACGAATCGTCGCTGCCAGGCGTCCTCGTGAGCACTTATCACCACTTTCTTGGCGGCCTCAATGGCGAGATTTTCGGCGCGCTCGCTCATCAACCCAGGCGGCGCGTCCAAGCCTCCGTTGGCCATTTGCGCCACGAGCCGGCGCGTGGCAGCCCGCAGTTCCTCGGTCGGCATCATCAGTATTTGCCTGAGCTCGTCGACGGTTTTCGATTTAATCAAAGGGATAATGTACATGGTGATGTATGCAAATCTAACTTCTGGGCTGCTCAAGAATTCGGATAAGTCTGCATCCTCGGGGAAGACTCTATCGTCAACGCTGACCTTTGCACGGTCGGCCGAGAAAGTCGCGGTTAGTTCGACGCAAATGATGCGACGAAGCCATGCCCGCAATAAGTCTAATCTCTCTGGGTCGCCCGCCATGGAAGGGTACGCCATGTTCGTCTCCCAAAACTTCGCGCACTTATCCCAGCGGAAGTATTCTGTAACTCTGCCAAACAGGGCACGGCACGCAATTCTTTCCCCAGAAATCCAACACTTCAGAATGTGCTCAATAAGAGAAACTCCAGGGGCGCATTCCTGGACGGTGAGGACTTTAGCAAATGCTACTTGGCCGCCCTGTTTTCGGAACTCTTCCTTTACCTGGAATGCCTCCGACGAGATCGTGGTTGCATGATCCCCGAAAACGTTGTTCCTCAATATCGTCCTTGCAGATTTCGAATTGCCCCCGGTGCCTGTGTACCATATCAGAACAGGCGGCATCGCGACGCCCATGAATGCCAAACACTCCATGGCAAGATCCGCTTCTCGGCCTGCATCGGCCCCCGCATACGAGGTGCACA